TTGGTTGGAACAAGTTACTAAGACTTTGGAGATGCTAAGGATTGAGAATGATGGACTAAGGGTTGCACTAGCAAGTTTCCAACTAAAAGGAGATGTCGGGTATTGGTGGAGGTATGCGAAGACTACCGTAGGCACCACTTGGGTTGCATTCAATGAGGTGTTTTTAGCCAAGTATTTTCCTTTTTCCGCTTGAGAAAGATTGAGGAAATAATTTGTTAAGTTGAGCCAAGGTACTACTCATTTGACATAGTTTGAAGTGAGGTTCACTAGCTTGTCCAAGTTCACTCCAGAGTTGGTGGCAATAGAGGACCAATGTTCCATTGAGTTTGAGATGAAATTACACTATGATATCTGGGGAAGAGTGGTAGGATCCTTGCACAGGAATTACCATACACTTGTGGAAGTGGCAGCTTATGTGGGAGCCATCAACCTAGAGATTAGTCGGAATAGAGATGAGGCTATATCAACAATCCCTACAGTTTGAGGGTACAATAGAGCTAGCAAATAGTAGAGGAGAGCAAGGTTTCAGAGCACAAGGCGACCAAGTGCTCACAGGGGAAGCAGTCTCCAAATCCACTATTCATTCAGGCTTTGGATCCATCTCACAATGGGAACCAAAACAGTTATTTCTAAACTGAAAATAACTATGTCAACAATTCAATAGACAAATGATTCAAATTATCCAATTATGCCATTTAATCAATGAATTTCCCAATTCCATGAATTTAACCATCTTTTCCCAATTCCATGAATTACTTATACAAATCAATTCAATAATTCAACTAGGGTTTTTCCCAAAATTTACCAAAGTATTCCCAACATATTAAAATACCAAAACTTAGAACGTAACCTATAAATTGGAGTAGGAAATCCCTACCTCAGAGAAAACAACCCAAATGGTGAAGACAGAGATGAGTGCCCAAAGACCAAAATGCTCCAATTTGCCAAATGTTCAGATTAAATGAAAGCTCTCGACTCCCTCTATCTTTTTAATAAAGCAACTAGGGTTGAAACACTCTCTAAACAGATCAAACCTAAGAGAGAAGGTGAGTAGGGAGAGAGAGAGGTCGAACCTAGGGTTTGGAATCAAAAGAATATGAAAAAGACTGATCAAATCCCGCTGCTGTGTATTTAAACTGGACAGGCTCGCTCGAGCGAATACTTTGTCGCTCGAGCGACCAGACACAGAGAATCTACGCTCGAGCCAAGGAAGCCTTGCTCGAGCCAACAACCCAAAAGCTCGCTCGAGCGAAAGAAAGCTCGATCGAGCGAAGAACTCAAACCCTCAGGTCTGAAACCAGACTCACGCTCGAGCGAAGGAACTATTGCTCGAGCGAAGAACAAACTAACTCGCTCGAGCGAAGAAAAGCTCGCTCGAGCCAAGAATGCAAAGCTACAGGTCCAACCCAGACGCAAACTCTCGCTCGAGCTACCAAACCCCGGCTCGAGCGAATAACCAAAACAACATCTCGCTCGAGCGACAAACTACTCGCTCGAGCGAAGATCCCAAAATTCTGGACAGCAACACTTGGTTTCTAAACCCAACCAACCTGAAACAAACCTGCCCAACACATCCTAAAATTCCAAATGAGAAAATAAGGAACAACAACAACAACAATGACAGAATCTACGGAACAGTCCGGATACAATAATCAAACGGGAAAAGACCGGGGTCGCTATAATAGGTGGCTTATGATCATGAAGTAGCCAGGTTTGCTCTATCTATGAATGTAGTAGTTTTTATGAATGTATCCACATTGATCTTTGGCTGGTTTGACCTTCATCTAGTTTTTCAATAAAATTGTCTTCAGTACACCAAGAAAATGGTGGGATGCTCTAGTACTTTCCTTCCTTTATCGATGTCTATATGTATCTTTGTGTATATTTGTTACATTAATAAAAGTTTTTTTGTTGATAAAAAAATTTAAAAAAAAACTAGAAGGTAAAATTTGGACTAATTAGTTAAATTACAAAATTGATAGAATTTTGTGAATCTCTCATCATATTGAAGTTTTCACGTTGCTTAAACTTTGGGGGTTCAATATGATTGGATCGGGTAATTAGTTTAAGTTGGAGATAGATTTGTTTGCTACAAAACTATGATGCTATATGTATTCTAGTAAAATGTCAATGCCATGATTTTCATTCTATTATTTATTTATTTTTGTTATTCACAATTTGTTTCTACAATGTGATGAATGTCTTTTAGGCCTTGCCTTTACTTTTAGCTTTAAATTTGTCATACTCTACCTAAATATGGATATTTATTTATTTTATTTAAGGAAAGTGTTTTCTAGTTTGAAACCCATATGAAGAGTAGTCGTGGAATGTTGGTAACAGAATATAACTGATTATACTTTAGAAAATTGAGTCCCTTTAATTTCTCTTATACTTTAGAAAATTGAGTCTCTTTAATCTCTCATCATTAGTAGCTATTGTTTGTTTAATGAATAATTTGCTCCCTAAGAAAATGGACAAAGGAAAATAGTAATAAGATTTTTTCCTGATTTTAGAACATTGAGAGGCATTATACCATGATTGTTTATAATTTTTATTGAACAATTGATTAGTGTTGGTCAATCCATCCAATCAATTGCACAATTGATTGGTGGTGGACAAACCTTCCAATCGATTGGTGAATGGATTTGTGTTGGCGAAGCCATCCGATCAATTGGACAATCGAATGGAGTGGCTAATTCTTCCAATCAATTAATTAATCGATGCTTTTGCAAAATTTTAGATGTGCAATTGATTAGTTAATTAATTTTGCTGACTTGCAGAAAAGTGATCTTGGGTCTTTATAGTGCTTGTGGCTACCAATATTATGATAGGATACATGGCAGTAGAACCCATGCATCATCTCCAATTCATGTATCATTAGTTAACTAAGGTATATATTATGCCTTTTAAGCGGATTTTTCTAAAAATTATTAATCACAATTTACTAATTACCCAAGTGTTAATGTCGTTTAATTAAAATTTGTCTTAAATGTAATAAGCATTAATTATTAAATATAAACTATTAAGGACATAGTAATCGTTATTTAAAAAAAATAATTCATTGGTTAAATTAGTATTAGTTATCAAATATTAGTATAATTTGTGTCAGTTTGAGAATTTCAGTTGTTCATTATATGCTATTAGTTTGAGAATTTGTGTTACTTACGCATTTTTGTGAGATCACTTATGTGAGTTTGTGAAAACTTAGTTTATTGTGGTGTTCAAAACTTTTATGAGATGACTTATGGGAAATTTGTGTTAAGTTATGCATTTTTGTGAGATCACTTACGTGAGTTTGTGAATACTTATTTGATTTGGTGTTGGTCAAAATTTTGTCAAATGACTTGCTCGAATTTGTGTTATTTACGCATTTTTGTGAGATAACTTACATGAGTTTGTGAAAACTTACTTGATTTTATGTTGTTCAAAACTGTTATGAGATGACTTACGGGAAATTTGTGTTTACTACAAAATTTTGCCTCAAAAATTTCTTCCCAAAATTTCAAACGAAATGTTCAAAATTTTACCTTAATTAAAACTCCCTCCTTAATTTTTTAATAAAACAAAACGCTAGTCATCTCACTCACATTTCTATCTTTCTTTGTCTATGAAACTCCTTCCTCTCAAACTGATCCCCTCCATTCCCTATCAATCAAGAGAGAGAGGGAGTCCTTTGGTAGTGCGGTAGCTTAAAGATTGTTTGATGGACCGTGATTTCAAGTGGCAATTTCTAGGCGATTCTCCGGCGATTTCTTCATCCCATTCTATCTACACCCACACACTACCACTGTACTGCTTCGTTTGGAAATTTCCCTGGAATCCATAGTTGATACCACCGATTTCTATGCCAATCCATATCTCGATCTCAACCTAGCACCGGTTAATTCAATTTCTCTTTCTAACTCCCTCTCCTTTTCCTAATTTCTAGACCCTAGCTATGTTTATGTTTTGTACAATAAAAAAGTTTGTATTTTTGTGCTATTGTTTCCAACTCTATAATCCCTGGTTCTCTCTATCGATATTTGTAGATCTATTTATATGATTGTCCATCTTTGATGTTACGCCCTCAAAATAAACCCATTATATGTATATCATCAACACGCATTACTTAAAGAAAACAATTTATTAATTCATTCTTCAGAGTATTACTAAATAAAAACATTACATGTAACATCAAATTAAATGTCCTATGGGCTTACATCTTTCCAAGCCAACACTTGGATACAAAATATGAGTTCTAACTCAAATACAAATAAAGCCCTAGGCTTGATTATTTATCAAATAAAAACAAACAACTAAAGATAATCTTCAAAATCCAAATCCTTCCAAGCTAAGTCCTGGGAGGTAGCTTATCACCTGAACCTGAAAATGATGTTCCCATAAAGGGTGAGCCACAGCCCAGTAGAAATATACTAAACCAAATATAAGCATTGAATAAAGCAATAGCATTCAATAGATGGTTAACCAAGAAAATCAATTACATCATTTTACAGTTTCATGACACCAATGCCTAAGACATGTTTTACTTTCCAACATTATCAATATGGCTCAGAACCTGGCCAATCTTACAACAGTGAACCATACATAATATATTCTCATTCATCCAGTGTCAACAAATAGATGAGACTCAGGCTCAAATCAAAACACTTCATACTTCCAGTTTGATACACATTTTAGTGTTGTATCAATAAAACACTTCAATATAAATAAGCACACATAAAAGTGATGCTAATGGAGTCCATCCCCTATCTCCTCCCAAACAAAATCCGGTTTAGAGGTCCATCCCCTATCTTCCCCTAAACCGTGGAGTACATCCCCTATCTCCTCCCACACAAAACAATGTATGCAAACACACATATATACAACACACATAATGTCTGTGTTAATTCAGCAGTCAAAAATTGATGAATTAATCAATGATTAGTTTCAGTTATCCCTAATCCACATGCAGTGTCTACAACAAGCACGACTATCCTCCACCGATAGCCCAAAACATAAAGCAACACTATGGCTAACTCAATTAAAGACGAGTAGAGAATCTTGATTGCTTTATAGATTTTATGTACATATAACTTGAAAATGTATGTCTATTAACTTTCTTAACACATATGTATGTATCGTGGCGGACCGAAGGGGTGGCGAAGGGAGGTTAGGGCCCCTTCTAAGCTTCAAATTTTGTTTATAGTTCTATTACACATGACACTTAAATTTGGGTGTTATTAGGAATTGGCCCCCAAAGAAGCAAAGAGCCGTCAATTGTCCCAGTTAAGATTCTAATATCTCTTTGTGTAGTTTGTTATATGCGTCTTTGATTTGGATATGGCTTTCTAGAGGTGGATGGTTAAACATTGTTTTTGGAGGAAGAGACTTGTCAATGTATATATTTAGGCTTTTGTGAAATACTTTTGATATTGATAGAGGTTGTATCTATAGCAAGTAACTTTATTTTAGCTTGAAGAATTATGAATATTTAACTGTAAAGATTTAATTGGGTTTGTGTCTTTGTTCATCTTCACTTGGCCCTTGAGAAATTACATGCTTTTGAATTATTTTTTTATTTGGTTATGTAAGGTGCTTTAATGGCAGTTCCTCTCACTTACAGTTTTCATATTTTGAAAGACTCTTGTGGTGCTTTTGTTCTTTCCCACATGTTCTTTCATATCAGCTGACTCTTTTCACATGGTAAGAATCTCTTTATTCTTGCTTTTAGTTTTAAATTTATTTCATTGCTACTTTAATAGTTACTGGAAACTGATATTTTATACTGTTGCTTCTTTTTTTTTTTTTAAACTTGTAGACTTGGATAAAAAAAAAAATTGCATCGATGTTCCTTTTTGTTATGAATACTTCGGTGTGGTTAGTTAGCTCAGCATGTTGATTAGCACTGAATGTGGTATAAAGATCCAGTTTCTAACAAGAACAAAAAAATGTGTCTAGTTTCTAATGAGAGCATGTATAATATCTCAAAAATCTTAGATATTTCACGATAACAATATCCTTGCCTTCCTAATGTTAACCTTCATAATGAAGCATATACTTTTGATGATTTATATGTGGATGGGGCCATTTCATGTTCCTATAGTGAGGAGAAATTTGATGGAAGTGAAGGTTCCGACGATGATTTAAGGCCAACAAATGGACATGGATGATTAGCCCCTTCACCAAAAGTGACTAGTGACCATTTTTTTATATTTTTTATAGACGTGATGTAATTTGGATGGCTTCTTTATGGAGGATGTTATGTGGATGTAAATTTGATTTTGGTAATCCATGTATGTGTAGATTATTGATGCGTAAGGTTGTAAATTTGATTTTGGATGCCAAACTATTCGGCACAAAATGCATTCATATTGCAAGAGTACAGAGCAATTGATTGTGTACCATTGCCAGCCAAGTTTAAACAATACAAATTTACTCCAATTGGTTGTGAGATTGTAACATGCCTAGTGTCTAATAGATTCACTATGAATCAATTGTAAACAATATTCAAGCAAATTATACAAGGATGCCAAACTTTGGCATTATTTTTTTTCCCTGTTTGTCATGGCCATGGGCTCCAAAATGGATTGGCCAATTGATTGGTGTTTCCACTTTCTTGCAAGAATTGATTGACTAATGGGTCCCCAATCAATTTTCAAATCGATTGGAAAATGCACTGCCTTGATAGAAATCAATTGGCCAATCCCTCGGCCATAATCCAAATAAAAGCCAAAAGCCAAAAGCCAAAATCTTGAGTGTTTAGTCAGGCTGTGGGCTTTCAAATTAGAAATGAATATGATAACAAGGTTTGAAGTTAACAAACTGTACCGTTTACAATCTCCTCATAAAGTACTATTTAATACATCAAGCACAATACATCATATTTCAAACATCAAAGCAACTTATCCTCATTGACAATTTTCAAAAATTTGAGAAAAAAAAAATGCAAAAAAAAAAGAGGCAATTTGCTACTATATTTTAAACAATAAACAACCTGGCGAGGTTATATTTACCAAAACATCAACCATAAGAATTTTTGTACACACGAAACATATCATACTAAGCTCCCAAAAGTAAGCAAAAAATGTTCATAAACAGATTGGGACAACCACAAAACCCATAGCATATTCAACTATTAGTTTAGTCTAAGCATAGAAAAACAATGAAAAGGCCAAGGTCAAGGCTCCTTAGAAAATTCATCTCTGTCTTCAACATCTTCTGTTCTCAACTCTTCTTCATCTCTCTCATCATCATCATCATCTTCATCTCTTCCCAACTCTTCTTCATGTTCCTCATCCTCACCTTGTCCTCCATCCTCATGAGGGGTATCTACATTTTTTTTGTCAATTCATGCAATGTCACTTACACAGATTTTAGTTCCTCGAGCATCTAGACTTGCCTTTTGTCCATACAAGCTTGGGTGTTTTCCAGCCGCTTCACCACATCAGGGACCTTACCAATCCGAATGGCTATACCCGCTAAAGAGGACAAAATAGAAGTCATGGGTTAGTGCAATTTCAAAATTGAATGCATGTTGATTTTTTTTTTTTTTTAAATTGTGACGGTGGGTTTTGTGCAATTGGTATTTGTATTCTTTGCTACTGTAGGTTCAGTGTAGATTCATAGTCATCCAGAGATGGTGCAAATTTGAACAATGGTAAACATAGCCACCCAACACCCTACTACATCAAAGAATAAAACAAGCAGGCCCTCAAAAATCTTAGATGGTGCCCAAACCTCTGCCATTCTCATAGTACCTGATCTGACTTAGCTTAGAGACCAAGTCCTGCACAGAATAATTGTGTATATGAGAGGGTAATTTATATATGAATTGGGCCGAGCTGGGTAATGGGCCGTTCATTGGGCACGGTAAGAAGAGCTGGATGAAAGGGGCTTGAAGTTAGCCCTGCCCAGAGAGGCTTATTGTTATCCCGGTCTGGGAGAGATTTGTGGATAGCTCGGTCACTACACTCAGAATTAGCCCGGTCGTGGCATGTTGCGGTTAGCTCGGTCAAAACCTTGCTATTTCTTAGCTCGGTCCAAACACACCATGGTTTGTAGAGGAGAAGCCGAGGTAAGAGTAGTGAATTCAATAAACCGAACTGGCTTTAGTTCGGTCTACTCTGCGGCTCAGCACAGCCATGCTTACCTCGGTTATATTGGGATCCGACCATGGTAAAACCATCCCACTTAGTTTAAGTAGTGAGGGGGGTGTCGAAGGATAAGCATTGTCTTTCAGGAATGTGACTCCTAGGAGGATTCTACAGAGAGGAGTAAGAGTCCTACTAGGATTGTGCCACACGGAACCTATAAAAGCTCACAACATCACCTATGGAGAGGTAACACAACTTTGATTCCCGAATTCACAGAGCTTTTTGTCTATTTGTCTATTTTGCTGACTTAGGCATTGGAGAGGTATCCGGCACACACCCGCCGACTAGCTCACGTTTGTGCTTTCAGGGAGTAAAGCGACGACGTACGGAGGAGCGCAATCTTGATCAACAGGATTATACGAGAAGGTTTATTTCTTTCCCGTACAATTGGTGCCGTCTGTGGGAATATCAGACAAAGAACAAAACCTCTTGATCAAGTTTTCCTCATTGAATGGCGCACAACGAAGATTTGCCGTAGTCCGCCATTGACGGACAAACCCTAGAGGGGGGTGAGAGGCGCGAAGGATTACCCTCTATCCCTCCTATGGCGGACTTAGAGCCCCAGCGACAGAATCCCCGGAGGGATACAATGGGGAGGCGGAACAACAGCCCCCGTCGCTCTCGCTCACAAAGTCCTGAAAGGCAAAGGCGAAGAATCGACCCTCAAGCTTTGAAGGATCGCGTAAAAGAGCAAGATGAACTGATAAGGAAGATGGCAGCGGACATGGAGACCATGAAGCGCCAGATCAAGGGAAAAGAGGTGGCGACGAGAGAGGGGCGCAAAGGCAATACGCCTCCTCGCCACTTTGAAGATCGTGGTAGGCATATCACGCCATCGCAAGCAGAGAGTAGAAGCCTCAGGACAGACGACACTCAATCAAGGACTTCCAGAACTCGTTACTCCAGGTCTGAGAGAACGAGATCATTGAGGTCTTACACTGAGGGAAGTACCCATCGGCCCTCACACACGCACCAGACATCATCCAGGCAAACGGAGTTGCCTAGATCGTCCGACTTATGGACTGTGCTTGAAGAAAGGGCGCAACAGAAGGAGGATACCAGGGCACGCGACCCACACAGAGTTTCAGCCCTTCAGCGGTTGGCTCCTCGGACGCATGGAAGCGTTGAGGTTGGAATGCCAATACCGCACCTTGCCTACGAACCAATAGATAAAGCGTTGGCAAGACTACATGGCTCGTCGTTCGTTTCGGCGATTGAGAACGCACCATTACCCTCAGGCTTCATCCAGCCTAAATTTACCATGTACGAAGGGAAGACAGACCCTTACATGCACCTAAGCCATTTTCGCCAGGTTATGGCAGTATACCGGCGGAACGAAGCTTTGATGTGCATCCTATTCCCATCTAGCCTTGGCGACCTAGGTTTAACCTGGTTTGAAAGGCTACCAAAAGGCAGCATAGCCGCCTGGGCGCAATTAGCGGAGGTGTTCGTGACGAGATTCAGAACGAACACCAAGACGCCAGTGGAGATTGATCAGCTACTCTCCATCGACATGGGCAACAAAGAAACATTAAGGTCCTACAACAGTCACTACTGGGAGATGTTCAACCAGATAGGGGACTGCCCCACCAATCTCGCCATCGCACAGTACAAAAGAGGACTTCCAGTCGGAAACAGATTGAGAGATTCGATTACAATGACTCCACCCCTCACGATGGAAGCCTTGATGGAAAGAGGGCACCAACATATTCGGGTGGAGGAAGATGGCGCCCATGCCAAGGCAAAATCTGGTGTGACAGCAACACCAGAAAGAAGACTACGGCAAAGGTCAATACAGTAGAACGTCAAAGCAAGAATGGACAAGGCAGGCGAGATAACGAAGAGGACCGAGATAAAAGATGGTTGAGAGTCCGCACTGCCATCACCACGGTATTCAAGAAACCAATCTACCGAATTCTCAGTGAGATATGCGATGAACCATTCGTCAAATGGCCAACTATATTGGGAGAGGCTCAGAAGGACTACGACGAAAGATCACGGTGCACCTTCCATAAAGAAAAGGGGCACCGCACTGAAAATTGTACACCATTGAGACAGCATCTAGAGGAGTTGGTGGCAGCCGGTCACCTGGACAAATACATTGAAGGAGGGGCGCAGCCAGCCCCCCAGAATGACAACCAACCGAACGGAATGCCAATCGACGCCCCACCTCAAGGCGTGATAAACGTAATACATGGGGTATGCGAACCTGAGCACGTATGTGAGCTCAGGGGCATGATCAAAAAGGCTGAGCACTTAAGGGAGGTTCTAAGTGCACAACCCACAATCAAGAAAGGAAGAACGGAGGCCACCAATGTCATCTCTTTCTCAGACAGAGACTTGGCGAGGATATACTGCCCTCACAACGACGTGCTGGTCGTCACACTCTGCGTCAAGGATTATGACATCAAGCGGATTTTGATAGACCAAGGTAGCTCGTGTGAGATAATGTACTACGACACCTTCAAACAACTGAAATTGGAGGACAAAGACTTGGCACCAGCTGTATCCCCCCTAATCGGATTCAACTCAATGCCAGAGTGGCCAGTCGGCAAGATTATCCTTCCAGTCAGGACAGGAAGCGTGACAAAACAAGTGAAATTTTGGGTGTTGAATGTCCCTTCCACTTACAACATAATCTTGGGAAGAACATGGCTGCATGCCATGCGAGCGGTAGTTTCATCCTACCATCAAGTAATGCTATTCCCCAACGAAGCCGGGGTAATTGAAGAGGTCTTTGGAGACCAAATTATGTCCAAGCAATGCTTTGTCACAGTTAATGGTAGCCGCGCTGCCAAGAGATATGTTCATTTAGTGGAAGAACCTAAGAGCAATGAACTGTTCGCAGATGTCGGCAAAGCAGCTGATCAAAAAGCGGTGGAAGACTTGGTAGAGGTAAGAATAGATGAAAAGAACTCGGATAAGTTCTTTTTTGCTTGGTTCGTCGTTGTCCAGCATTGAGAGATTAGAGGTCTTGGAATTCTTGACCTCTAACATCGAAGTGTTCGCCTGGACGCCCTACGACATGCCAGGCATTGATCCAAACTTCATCTGTCACCAACTCAATGTCCACCCATCCGCCAGACCAATCATTCAGCGCACTCGCAAATCGGCACTCCACCACGCTGAGATAGTGGCAGAAGAAGTGGGAAATCTGCTAGAGACAGGAGCTATCAGAGAGGTGCACTACCCCAGATAGATTTCCAATACAGTCGTGGTGCCAAAGAAGAATGGCAAATGGCGTGTCTGTGTCGACTATAAGTGTCACGTCCCAAGCTCCATGACAACGCTGCACACTCATATAAGTGAGCATGCAAGGCTAAGAATCCAATCACATAACCCACAATGTAAAATACTCAAATTAAATCCTTAATTGTCATAATGCCAAAATCCATAAAAATAAATAGTTCTTATATGAAAATGTCCACCAAGTCCACTAATTTAATCCACTAACAAAATAATAATCCAAGTAATTAAATCATGGTCCTACTCTCGGCACTCCCACATGTAAAAAAAAAATCCCGCGCAGCTCTACTCTTCAGAATCTGAAAAAAAATAAAGGTAAGCTAGATAGCCCAGTAAATAACCAACCATCACTGCTAGCTGGATCAAGTATACAAAAATAAATAAATAAATCGATAACCAATAAATATAATTTTTTCTACAGTTCAATAAATGAACAATTATTTGTAAGGTGGTTTCATAGCTAAAAATAAACAATGTACAATACATTTTAAATGAAAAGCCAACAAGATAATTCAAAGTAATTCGTTGTTCAAATCGATGGTTCGATATTCAGATAGTTCAATGATTTGATTCACAAAACCCAAGTCTTAATGACTACGGTCACTTAGCTTGTGACAAGGCCCAGAACCACACATAGGCCGGTGGTAAAGCCTCAAAAGAAACTAGTTTCTGTGCCAATAAATAACCCCCATTGGCCAGGGTCCAAATCATAGTCAGACTAGAGTGATGTTCAAAATTCAAACAATACACAACTTTTAAATAAAACATTCGATATTTTCAGAATAAACGTTTAGTACAATTTTCAGAATAGTTT